CTCTCTCTCTCTCTCTATTATTCTATGTGCATCTATCTATCTAACTATCCCCTTCCTCTTCTCTTTCATTTTTTTTCTCTCTCTCTTTCTCTTTTCCTATGTCTCTTTCTCTTTTTTTTTCTCTCTTCATTATCTCTCTCTCTCTTTCATTCTCTCTCTCTCTATCCCCCCCGCCCTCCTCTCTCTCTCTTTATATCATCATCTTTACAAAAACACTTAACGATGTCTCCCTTATCTCGCGTTACTTTGGTCTCACTGCTTTCTTATCTTGGATCGGGGCTTATCTTTTGTAGTACCCCCCCCCCTCTTATTCCCCCTCTCTCTCTGTCCCTTTGTATATCTGTCTGTATGTATGTCTCTCGTTTCTGTCTCTCTCTTCTTCTTCTCTCTCGCTGTCCCTCTGCATCTCTGTCTCTCTCTCTCTAGTTCGCAATTAATGATAGCAAACTGTTTAAGATGATATTGACAAAAATATAAGCTAGAGGGACAATGAACGCAAGAGAATTTGAAAATATAAGATGACAGCAGATCCACAACACACACAAGTAATCCACGCACAGTCGCACGCATTCTTCTAAGCCAGTAAAGTTCTCGTTCAGGATCCAATCCCTCGATTACTGTGACTGACAGCATATGTGTCTTGTTAATAACTCGGGTCAAAGGTTAATTTTGCTTCGGGCTTATGTGACCCTTTATCGTACGTCTGGAAGTGCGTGGATCCCGCCCCGAGTCCAGTCATTAACCAATCACAGCACCGTTTGTTTCGTGACGTCATACGGCACGCCTAAACAGCCAATGAACTACAGCCCGTGCTTATGACGTCACGAAGCCGCGCCCACTCCGGTTAATTATGAAAATCACTGAAGAGAAATAATTTATCTCTCAAAATAAATGAAAATAGAAGTATAAATCATAATGTCGATGTTAGAAATATCGATTTTTCTTGTTCGTTGGGAATAAGGAAGATTTCTTGCTTATGTTTACAAGTACTGCGGAAACGAAGTGAAATCTGACACTCAATATGTCTTCATCTTATCCTACCAAGCTTACCTCAACATCCCCTCTCTTCTCATATCTTCCCTCTCCCCTCTACACCCCCTCCTCATTCCTCTTTACTCCCTACTCCTCTCCATCCCCATCCTCCCCTCTTCCCCACTCTCCCTCACCTCCCCTCACCCTTCCCCTCCCTCTCCTTCCCCTCCCGTCACCACCACAACTTTGCTTTCGTAATCTAACTTAATCTTCTAGAGATAAGTTAGACAAAGCTCCCACCTTATAAAGTGTCTGCGTTGGGGGGGGGGGGGAGAGGAGGAGGGGGAAGGGGGAAAAGGGGAGAGGGGGAGGTGAGGAGAGTGAGAGGGGAAAGGGGGGGGTAGAGGTAAGAGTAGAGAGGAAGGGAGCTTAGAGTGAAGGGAGGTAAGGAGGGGGGGGGTGTAAGTAGGGGTGGGGTGTGGGTTAGTGGGGGGGGGTAGCATGACGACTGCAGCATCATCTGTGATTCATCTCCCTCTCTTATCGACGTTATCGGAATGGAGGGCGCTGGAGTTGGTATGTGAGCGCACGTGTGTGTAGTAGTAGTAGTAGTAGTCTGGGTAGTAGTAGTAGTGGTGGTGGTAGCAGTGATAGTTTGAGTAATAATAGTACAACTAGTTTGGGTAGTAGTAGTAGTAGTAGTAGCAGTAGTAGTTTGAGTAATAATAGTAGTAGTAGTCTGAGTATTAGTAATGGTAGTGGTAGCAGTAGTAGTTTGAATAATAGTAGTAGTAGTAGTAGTTTTAGCAGTAGTTATAGTAATGGTGGTAGCAGCAGTAGTAAGAATGAGTAGTATTAGTATGAAGATTAGTATTAGTATTAGTAATAGTACTAATACTAATCATAACCATCATATTATTGATATTATTATTATTATCGTCATTATCACATCATCGTCACTGTCATTTTCATTATCATTATGATTATCATTAGTAGCATTATCAGTGTGATGCTGATATCATCTTCAGTAGCAGCAGTGGTGGTGGTGGTAGTAGTAGTAGTAGAAGAAAAATTAGTAGAAGAAATAGTATTAGTAATAGTAGTAGTAGCAATAGTATAAGTAGTAGTAATAGTAATAGAAGTAATAATAGTAGCAATAGTAGAAGCAACAGCATTGGTGGTGGTGGTGGTAGTAGTAGTTGTTGTAGTATTAGTAGTAGTAGAAAAAGTAGCATAAGTAATAGTATTAGTAGTAGCAATAGTAATAGTAGTAGAAATAGTAATAGTAATAGATATGATAATAGTACCAATAGTAGAAGCAGCAGCAGTAAGAGAAGTAGTGACAGTGTTACAATTAACAGACGAACAAAGACGAAATTAAAAAACACAAAGAATCCAGGGCATACATCATGGTGGTTTTTATCCATGATTTTTTTTTTTTTTTTTTTTTTTTTTTTTTTTTTTTTTTTTTTTTTTTTACAGCCGAAGGAGAATTGGACCCACGAGCAGTAGCGTCCTACGTGAGGTTTGCTGGAGAGAAAAACAACAACAATTAAGGAGCTATGTGGTTGTCTGAACCAAGTGCCGCCTGTCGCCCTCGCCTCTTTGGGATGCTCTGCTGTGGGGACTAAATGTTGATATGATTACTACTATTACTACTATTACTACTGCTACTACTACAACTGCTACTGCTACTACTACAACTGCTACTGCTACTGCTACTTACTACTGCTACTGCTACTACTACAACTGCTACTGCTACTACTACACTGCTACTGCTACTACTACAACTGCTACTGCTACTACTACAACTGCTACTGCTCTACTACTACTACACTGCTACTGCTACTCTACAACTGCTACTGCTACTACTACAAACTACTGCTACTGCTACTACTACAACTGCTACTGCTACTACTACAACTGCTACTGCTACTACTACAACTGCTACTACTACTACACTGCTACTGCTACTACTACAACTGCTACTGCTACTACTACAACTGCTACTGCTACTACTACAACTGCTACTGCTACTACTACTACTGCTACCTGCTACTACTACACACTGCTACTGCTACTACTACAACTGCTACTGCTACTACTACAACTGCTACTGCTACTACTGGCTACTAACTGCTACTGCTACTACTAACTGCTACTGCTACTGCAACTGCTACTACTACTGCTACTGCTACTACTACAGACTGCTTACTGCTTAACAACTGCTACTGCTACTACTACACTACTGCTACTACTAAACTGCTACTGCTACTACTACAACAAAAATAATGATAATAATGATGCTTATGATGATAAAGATAATAACAATAATGATAATGATAATTATAATAATAATGATAATAATGATGATAATTATAATGATAATGATAGTAGCAATAATAATAGTAATGATAATGATGATACGATAACAATAACAGTAATAATAATGAAAATGATGAGGCTAATAACCATGACACTAACTATAGCGACAAGAACAAGAATGAAATGATAACATACAAACAAGAACAAGAACAAGAAGTATAGCGACAAGAACAAGAATGAAATTAAAGCATACAAACCACACATACACACGCACAAACACGCAATGACGAAAGAGGAAATATTCATGACTTAATCCTATCTAAAAAAAAAAAAAAAAAAAAAATAACCACGCAAACAAACCAAAAACGACTCAAATCAGAATGAATGAAGCGATAAGAGAGATAACAAGAATATCCACTGATAAAAAAAATACATCTATTGACAACATAAGTATTTGTTTGTCTCTGCATCGAGTGCCGGCTCTTCTCAAAGCGATAGGGATAAAGAAATAAAAAAAATAGGCTTGACAACTTGACCATATTAGAGATTTGTGGCATGAATCACGATGGCCAGGACGTGCCCGCGTTTGTCTGTCTGTCTGTGTGTCTGTCTGCCTTTGTATCTGTCTTTCTGTGTGTCTGTCTGCTTTAGGTCTGTCAGTCTGTCTGTTTGTCTCTATGTCTGTCTATCGATCTCTATGTCTGTCTGTTTGTCTATATGTCTGTCTGCCTTTATGTCTGTCAGCCTTAGGTCTGCCTGTCTCTATGTCTGTCTGTTAGTCTATATGTCTGTCTGCCTTTGTGTCTGTCTGTCTGTGTGTCTGTCTGCCTTTAGGTCTGTCTGTCTGTCTGTTTCTATGTCTGTCTGTTAGTCTATATGTCTGTCTGCCTTTTGGTCTGTCTGTCTGTATATATGTCAGTCTGCCTTTATATCAGTATGTCTGTCTATATGTCTGTCAGTCTGTCTGCTTTTATGTATGTCTGTCTGTTTGTCTATTCCTCACTCTTACTTTGTGTTGTACTTGTTTCGTCT